ACTTACCCGATCTGCATCTTTGTTGAATTTGATTCCAGTACCGTCCTGAGGAAAAGAACAATAATTTATAATCTGTATCAAACAAACATCGATTCGGTTTGTCTGGTTACATTCTGATTCGTTTTTTTCTGATCCCGAATGTGTATAGCATACAGGGGAGAAGAAGGCACCTTTGAATAGCAAGGGCAGCTTAGAACAAATGCGTTTGCGCTGTCAATTTGAGTGAAAATGTAGTTAGTAGGGAATTATGTTTTTAACAATAAGGCACCACCGAGGCCCACCCCATGTCAGTGGCAATGGCCAGTGTGCGCGCGCCAAAAATTGAATGAGACGTCGTGTATAGTTTCAGCGTTGAAAAGAAAACATTCTCAAAAATATAACAGACATTTGAGCAACGACAGCACATAGACATCGTTGCATTTGAGTTCCTTCACAAAAATGGGAATACTGACAGCATTATAAATACAACAGCATCCCGAATGAATTTAAAAAATTGGAATGCGTAAAATCTAAAAATGCTCTTAGTAAATGTACTAATTTTTAATCCGCTGGTGCCATACGTGCAGCCACGGCGGAGACGGGCGTCTTTGGTTGCCTAGCACACATAGAGGCCGATTTATATATTATATTATAGGATATTGCAGGTAAAATAACTAATATTAATTGTAAGTACTTAGTCTGCCCTCAGAACGAAAATAGGCACAACTGCTGTATAAAGTACGCAGTGTGATGTGATATGTTTATTAACAATTGTTTTTTTTCTTTCATATTGTAATGCAATTTAATTTTAATCTGTGACATTCAATAACATTGTACACCTTATCTGGTAAACTATAGAGCACAAACCAATGTAATATTTTTTAACCTTATTTATTACCTATACTTATGCAATAAATGTATTCTTATTCTAAACTTTTTGATCGTGCTTATTGCCAAATAATATGATTATAGACAAATAATAGGGCTAACTACTACAGCAAGCAAAAGAAATAAATTATTTATGATCTAGGACTTTATAAGTAAACAGTTAAAAAATGTAAAAAATGTTCAAGGGCACCTTCCTCCTCTTCGTAATTCAATTCTGATAAAAATGTTACTTTGTTATTGTTAAGCGTACCTAAATTGTGACGACATCTAGTGGAACTTATTAATAACATCGATGAAACAGCAGCGCTGTCACCTAACATTTTTTTGTAATGATTTTTGTTTTTTTAAATTACATTGAGGCATTCGCACGACTTTGTAATTAATTTGTAACAGTCCTTCGTATAAATACACGAATAGTTCATTTGAGAAAATAAAATAATTCCTTTTGCCCATAACATACAGCTCATCATTAGACAGGAAACAAAATAGAGAAAGGAGAAGATAAAAGGCTGACCACAGCGGCATATACACACTCTAACAGTTATAAAGATTTATTTTTGTAATTTTTTAATTTATTAAATGCATTGACTTACAATTATATGGACGTCGGGTCCGCGCTAAAAAGTGTCCGAACTTATAGGGCGTTAAAATCGTATACAGAGCATCATTCACGCTCTAGTCTTCGTTTGTTCGACTGACAGCGGAGCAAGCAAAATTAAACAGTACTGCGATGAGATTACAATTTAAATTCAACGTTTTAGCTTTTTCATATTACTTGACATGTCACTACGTTAAATAGGTTGACTTGGGACATTTTTTTCATGGTTTTTGTATTAGACCCGTCGTCCATTTATTTGTAAGTCAATGATTAAATGTCACGATTTGCTTTTTTTGCGATTTGATTGACTACCATGATATTCAATTGTTTTTGTGAAATTACTCCACTAGTTTCCCCTCATACCCCCAACACTATTATAGGGAAACCCTGTGTCGTGGACACATGCATAGACAACCACAAATTACAACCAAACTCACGAGAGAAAATAAATGTAGGCCATACAAATAGTTTTCCCAGGAATCAAACCTCGGCATGGCAGAGCAAAAAAACTTAAAAGTTTCTTTTTGAGAAATTTATTATGTTTTGTAAAATGTACATGAAAATGTTGTTGCTTATAATGTCAGTAATATTGTACTTACGCGAATTAGTAATGCAAAAAGGGAGGAGAATATTTGAATACCTCTCTCGTTGTTATTGTCCTTGTTATTTTTCTTTGCAACTTAAAGGTTTTCGCGATTGTTACACATAGGACATGAAACTATGTTTCCTAATTTAAATCGTGGTTGAGACCATGGGACCTGTAAAGGACCCGAAACGTTGAATTGTTTGAAAACACAAACATACGCGATTTAAATCCGGAAAAATAGTTTCATTTCCTAACTTAAAAGTTATATTCTTTTTTAAAATATAGGTGTTATATGTTCCATATTTAAACATAACACTCAGTGATTTCTTTACTTTTAAATGTGAAACCTATAATACACCTACAAAATTTTATAATGGGACAGACTTCGACATTCAAAAACTCTTTGGTTTGCTAGAGTAGTTACCGAAATAGCAATTAATATTAGTTATTATACCTTCGATATCCGATAAATCGGCATAGAATCATCATCAACCAGAGACGGGCGGCCGTGGCTGCACGTTCCGCATCAGCGGGTTTAAAAACACACAATGTATTTTGACTTACAATAACTTACTTGGGAGGCATCGATTTGTTATTTTCAAATTTGCTATATTATAAAAATACTTACAACAGCCTGCCTTCTGACGATGTTTGCCAGATAGCGGCCTCTCCTACTGGCAGGTAGTAGGACACTGCCTGAACGGACTTCATCGCCTTGCTATAACAAAAATAATAATAAATAAATATTAGACAACACCACATAAGTTGCTCTGATCTCAAAGTAAGTAACTACAGCATTTGTGTTATGTAAATGGAAATAACGACGGTACCACAAACACCCAGATCCGAGACAGCACATAGGTACTGTCTCGGGTTCTTTTCTATAGAGAAAAGTTAATTTTTTGCATTGACCCGGACGGGGATCGAACACGGGATCCAAGAGATGACGACACCATGAAAGCCACTCTACCACGGAGGTCATCAATACATAAGTCGAAATAAATTTATATATAGAAATTTATTTACAGAATTATTTTCAAATAAACTTCATTTTGAATCTTATGTTTCTTAATGAAACTATGTATATTTTTACGGGCATGCAAAATATTTGAGTACATGTACTGAGATGCCACAGTCATGATACCAGTCTCCTTAAACTTTTCTCTGACAGAAACCTGAGAAACTAAACGGTACACGGAGCGAATCGCTCGTTTTTGCAACACAATTACTGAGTGAGCGTAAGAAAGTATTTGTAAAAATTTGAAAAAGGCACTAATCGGTCTATAATTATAAAAGATAGTTTAATAAAACTTTTTCTAAGAACTAGTACAATAATATTATATGCAAACTTAATATTATTGTAGATCTGACTGGCCCTCTGTGAGAACGGAGTGAGCACACATTAAGTTATTTTTCTCTTCTTTTATCTCTTTGCAAATAGAAAGATTGGTTTCTAAAATTGTTTTAGAACTTTTACTAAACGAATAATATATTTTAAACATTTTACAGAGGGTGCTCACTCGATCCACACACACGTAATATGGTTTGGTTTGATACCAAACAAATCAACTAGATGGCGCTTATTGCATTGATTTCATTGGGTAGGACAGAGCCGATTATTCATTAATTTTGTTCTTTATAAAAAATTTAATAAAGAATTATTTAACTATTTTGTATCTTAACTATAAAATCTTACGGTGAATAACATTATAAAGCTAATTCTGAATAATTTTATAAATAAATAATCTCTATTCAACTTAACGTAATTATACATTTTTCTCGGCTGTATCTGTAAGCATCTTTTCAATGTCTTTACTTATCCATTTATTTAAATAACCCACACTTTAATCATAAACCAATCTATCACAGTGAAAACTTGTATCTAATTTAATTTTATCTATTGCCACAAAACAAGCCAGGAGTGTCTCTTTCTGATTGGTCAATATCTTTTTTTCATTATGTTGTTTAGTCGCGTAGACCCGTTTATGTAGGCGGTGTTTTGTTCTAAATTTTTTCATACTTGCTTTATAAAAATACCTTTGTTGTAGTAAGGCACTTGTTACAAGAATTTATCTTTTAACTCTTGTTAGTACATAAGGTATACGCTTACCAAATTCAAGAATCTTGTTTATATCAGTTTGTTATTAGAGATAGAGACAGAGTTTTATTCATTTGTAAACTTTAAGATTACTCTAAGGGCGCCTTCAAATAAGACGCTTGGAGAAGCGCTATATTGACGTGACTGTGACGCGGCAGCGGCGCTTCTGTGGCACTTCAATAATCTTTAGTTCATTAATTGTGACTGCAAAAGTGGCGCACGCGTGGTCACGACAGTGGCGCTACAACAGTACTCCTAAATATTGTATGAAAATTACGCCATTACAGCGCTGTTTTAACCGACTTTAAAAAAAGGAGAAGGTTTTCAATTCGACTACATGTTTTATTTGTGTTTTTTTGTATATATGTTACGAGATAACTCCGGTATTTGCGAACCGATTTGAATGATTCTTTTTTGTTGGAAAGGGGGTACTTCCATAGTAGTCCCATTTAATTTGGAAGAAAATCATCCACCTCTAAGGGTGGCTGTTCACGCATGAAGATTCATTTTTATAAATAGCGCCTAATTTTACTTAAGGAGCAATTATTTTAATGGTTGATTTTGCTATTTCTCCAATTCAAGGCGTTTTTCTCTCGATATATTTTGAGAAGTGAGAACCGATTTTTATTATCTCCAGTGTCAAGTACTGTATAGTGGCGAATTTAAGGATATTTCAATAAAACTTAGCAAATGGACGTAATTCCACGTACTTTTGAGGTCGGTTTTTTGGTACTCTGTACTGAGATTATTATTTAAGCGTCTATTTAAAGGCCCTGTCGCAAACAAATATTAATTACAGAGTACATATATTACATTATATAACTGACGACCTCAGTGGTCGAGGGGATTGCACACTGGTGTTCATGGTGTCGTTACCTCTGAGGTCCCAGGTTCGATCAATAAATGTAGATATAGAGTATTTCTACTTTATTTGTTAAATTCTCTTGAAAAAATTTAAGATATTGAATACTTACAGGCGGATAGGGACAAACAATAAATTGGAAAAAACATAAAAAATACAACAATAAATATAAACAGACTTCCATCATAGCAAGTTCACTGACGCGAACTAAATTTTAACAAGCCATTAGTGACCAAGTTAACAAGGCTCTTTTATGTTCTTTTTTTTAATTATGGCTAGCAAACTAATATTGAACCCTGAAACGTTGGTGCTGGTTCCTGTTGACATACTTCTAGTATAATGTATCAGTGAACATAATTAAGGGAATTAATTTAGCTAAATTAAAGAATAACGTGGACATTCCCTTCCATAAAACCCGGGACTCCTCGGAATTGATTATATTTGAATATGGATATTGTTTATAGAAATTTCAGTACATTGGCATCAAAATACTACTTCCTGTCTACAGCCGGTTCGAATAAAATTTTCTCAGTGTTCGATCTTTGTATTAATAATTATACAAACTAGTGGAGTACTTTCACAAAAAATCGTGATAGACAATAAGTTTGATATTACAATTATTAAAACGACATCTCTAGTCAGGCGCTGGTATGTAAAGTTACCTGACTGAGTGAAGTAAAACTTTCATAAATTTCTCACAGATGGCGCTACGGGAAACAAGTCGTTAAAAACAAAAAACAAAGATCTGCAACAAGCACAAAGAAAAATTTTCTTGGATCTGCTGGTTCGTTCCGTGGGTTAGTTGCATTGACTTACAAGTTAGTTGGGAGAGCGTCGGCCTGATATGCTGAAGACGCTGGTTCGAATCCAGCCGGATCGTATAAATTTTTCTCTGTGTTCGATCTTAGTATTAATAATTATAACAAACTAGTGGAGTAATTTCACAAAAAAATATTGATATCATCGTAGTAAAACATCGTGATAGTCACAGACATATATCTAGATAGACACCGCAAGTGTACGTACTTCGCATGCCCAAAGTAAGTGACATTCAGTTACTTGCCGCTGCTACACTTCAGAACGCGCTCGACCGTTATCGTAAATAAACACCAGTCGAAAACGCGAAAAACGCATAATTGTGCCATTATACACTGCAAAAGCACCATAACAGTGGGTAAACGGGTAAGCAGGGACGTTTCCTTCCACGGGCAAGTGATTTTGTAATCAGAAGTTGCATAATTTATTTTAAAAACAATTATTTTGGTTTTGTATGAATTTCGAGAAAACAAATCGACGCGTCCCACGCAAATAGTCGTAACTCATAAAAGCAACATTTCGAGAAACAGATATTTAAACTTTTGATCTAGGTTTATGCGTTTCATACAAATATTACAGTTATGGATGTTTGTAATTTTTTTGTATTACGTCTGTGGTATATGTCGCAATAATTAACATCAGTCAGAAAGTCCAATTTGTGGAGATAAACGGGGAAATCTATAGTTACGACTCTTTGTTACCCGTGCAAAGGTCGTAACTTGAGAATACGACTGTATGCGTGGTTTAAACTTTAATTATAATTTTAAACAAGGTGTCCTAATGTAAACATACTGTTTTTTGTGACGTTACATTTGACGCAAGTTACGGGGTCGTATTATTCAAATATTTATTATGCAACCAAAAATAATCTTTAGGAGAATAAAAATAAGTTTCGAAACGAAGAAAAACATTTATTGTTTAACTGACAAAGAAACACAATCACTGTTCTTACTTCTAATTTAAATCTAAATTGTAAACATGAGATCACATTAATTATTATTAATTAAAAGTTAAGTCCAGTAGCAAAAACAACCTTTTGGATTTTTTTTTGGCACTAGTACTAAGAGAATGTAAAATAAATAAATAAAATTGTTTATTGAATAACGTGTTGTACAAATGAATAGGTAACTAAAGACTAATTAAGCGAATAAATGTAAAATATAACACATATACCTGAACTAGGAGAATCCTGTATTTCAGGTAAAAAATACTATATACATATGTATACAGGTGAATATATGATGATTAAATTATAAACAAAAAAATGGTTAAAATATAAACAAGAAAATAATAGTAATTAAACAATAAAATGCAAATCGTATACCTATGCGCTTAAATTAGACAACATTTATTTTGGGATAATTAATAAATTCTCTGTATCATCGTACGACATATTTTGAAGGGATTCTTAGAGAATTTTCTTAAACTTTATGTACTAAAAATGATATATGGCCAGTTTGGCGTTTAATTTATTGTACAAAATTGGCCCAAGAAACAAAAAATCTGAAAATAAACACATGTTTTGATGATACAATTTAGGGGCAGACAATATCTTTCCGTCTTTTGTTAGTGTTTTCAGTACTCTATGGGAGTGCAATGTTTCTGAACAGCGCTGCGACTGTTCGTCCGGTCACATGATATCATTAAAAAAAATCATCAATCATTGAGGAAACGAAGCAAGAGCTACATTAAGCAAAAATGAAAAAAATAAAAAGGAATTAATTATACATAGTATGATCTGTATGATAGCAGATTGACTCTAGTCAAGTTGATGAAACGAGTCTTAGGCTAAGAACTCACGGAGCGGTTTTCACGCGGGCCCGCCGCGACTGTGGGTCAGCAGTTTTATTTCAATACTCACGACACTGCAGGTTTATGCGGTCACGTTGTTGTCGCGGACGGGACCGCAAACTTGGCGGGAGGTGACCGCAAATCGCGCTGTTATTTATGATCGATTGGGATTGTCCCGGCGAACTCAAAGTGCATGGGCAAAGGTCGCCAACCGCGTCTCGCGCGGTTCTAGTAGTGCCCTGCAGAGTCTGCGGCTACCGCGAGAGACCGTCCCCGCCACGGGCGTAAAACACAATTGTACTTCTTACAGGGAATAGATTCGACATGATTTTTTAAATTTTGTTTCAATTTTATGACGTGTAAAAAGAATCTTTGTGTATTTATATAAATTTAAAATTGTCGCCGATTTTTTCAAACTTGTTGCGTTACAGATGTGTTAACATACTTAATTCAATTTTGATAAAATTATAATTACGTCAATGGAGCACCAAATGAGCGAATGCATATTTTAATGTAACACTCTATGGAAGCCGCGATCTCGCAACCGCGGTGGGCGAGGCTGACAACCGCTCCGTGAGTTGTAAGCCTTATATTATACCTTCCCAAATTGGTAGAGCACAAGTTTAAATGGATTACTCTAATTGGGAACAAATTGGTTTGAAAAAGTACAGGTTTATCGGTTTTCAATGTAGAACATTCTCACTTAATTTTAATTAAGCATGCGACGGCTATCCACCTTACTGTGTCCATAACTTTCATGGTTCACTTGCCCTTTTCATCTATTCATTTCAGACACCATCGCTTTGATCGCTCCCTTCAAATACATCGGCACCTTTAGAATGAAAGTGACCCAACACAAACACCCAATTGTAATTGGGACTATGCAAAATAAGAATTGAATTTGCGACGTTTTCATATTATTTTATTTATTACTTTGGAAGTAGATACTAATGGTTGGGAAATAATTATAAAATATTCAACAAAAACGAGTATTCGACACGAATTTCTTCGCGCTCGCCCCGAGAGGAGTTCACGTCGCTTCTGGGCAACGACCGCTTGTGCCTAACTGTCATGGCAAAATACGCTCTATTTATTTAGCTTTTACGTTTTAACTTAAATGAGCGTCCCGGGCACGTGGGCGAACCTGGCTTCAATTTGATCCACGCGGCGGCCCGCGCGATCGCCGAGCGGAGTCCCCGGGGCGGCCCGCACGGCGGGGCAGCGGCGGCTCGCGCGGCGGCCATGCGGTTGTATTATTCAGAGGCATTTAAAAGTTTTCGCCATTAATGTATACGTCATGAAGGCGTGGGAACGGGGCGGTTCGTGTAACTGGAACTCTTAAGGTCACTTTTTTAATGAAATTTCATGTTGTCATTTGATATACCTAACAAGAATTTAAATTAAGTATTTCATTTTCATCATCAGCAAGATGTTTTGAATGAAAATTAAATAAACTAACTTTTACTAAATGTACCGCTCATTTAATATTTTTATAACCATCGTTTTATATGTTAGCAATTTAGATTAAAAGGTTATAATAAGTATAGTGACTCCCAAAAAGTTTGTTAGTGTGTTGAATAATTAATATGTAAACCTGGTACCTTTAGTAATCATCGAGTACATAACCAAAATGTACTCGATGTAAATTAAACAGAATAATAAATACGATTAAACTCTGATATTTAGAAAAATTTTTCTTTTTTATGTTTAGCCTTAAATCGGCATGAAGATTTTCCGTTTCATAAAACGAAAAAAGGAATAAAATAAGAATAAAATGGTAGCTTCTAATTTCTTACAAAGATCTTATATTTTACGGAAAAAATTGAAAAAACAACAATCTTACATTTACATGCTTACATGGTATTACAAATGTCTCTTTATGAATTTGTCTAGAAACAAGACACCAACGCAAGGATCTTATTTCATTAATAACAAACCTTTAGCGGAGGTCTTTAGCACGTGTGACCTTGGTGTTATTGTGGACGCCATGCTAGATTTTAATAATAATAATAATAATACTTTATTTCGGATCAACAACAGTTATCCATAGTTTGTTAGTAAAGAACTTAGGAATAAGGTCAGTATGATGCTATTCAAATGCTAAAATTACAATGAAATAAGATAATGTTAAAAAAATAAAAATGAAAAAAATTATACAATTAAAATTCAAAAATAAACCACGAATTGCACCATTAAATATAAAATTATGAAATAGAAATTAATCTAACACACTTATGTAAACTTAAACTAAACCGCCACATGAAGTTTCATCCAGTGGGCCTGGATGGGACAGTCAATTTTATCAACCACAATTTTTAGAATGCTATTGGGGCACCTGCGCACACGTCGCCAAAGCGAGGCAACCCGCTTCCTCAGAATGGCATGAAAGCCATCTGTGCGTGTCTCAGCGAACATGCCTGAAGCGCTACAGTGTCGTGGTAACCCCAACAACATCCTAAACGCGTTGTTATATTGTACCCTCAGCGTATTTAGGGTCACCTTATTATATTTCACCCACAGGCTACACGTGTAGAAGGTTTGACAGTATGCTTTAAAAATAGTTAATTTTACGTACGTAGTATATTGGAGTGCTGTGGCCCCGTCTGGAGCCCATTGTACAAGGTACACATCGAACGGTCAGAGAGGATACAAGAGAGGTTCCTATTATCATCTTTGTTACTCGAACAACCTTTGTCGACAGTTAGTCACGTCTCACTACAGAAAAGAAGAAATATAAGCGACCTTATATTTCTGTATAAACTATATAAATAAATGGACACATCGGCAGTTCTCTAATAATGCAGATAATTAACTTCAACATTCCTCGTCCTTCTAGCCGTCTCGTAAATAGAAGAACATTCAGTCATCCACATACTCATGGTCAACATTCATGTTTAGGTACCTATATCGCATCTGTTCATCATATAATCGTAAAATCTTAAAAATGTTTTTAGATCGTACCTAGCAACAGTTTCAAAACTTTATTTTTCTCGAGACCAATAATTACTATGTTTAGCATGCTGTGTTCACAGCGAGAAGGATCTGCACGCTCCGATTTGTTAGAATATGAGTTTTGGTCATTTTTATGTAATTTATTTAGTGTGTATGTATGTTACGTGTGTACCTTCAGTTCTGTGAACCAAATAAAGAAAAGAAAAATTATTTGCTGCCAAAGCCAATGTACCCAGAGTCATAAAAATCTTTAATTTGAATATTGCAAATGGCGGAATAGCAGAAAGTTGGTGTCGACGCGTATTTTCTAATTTTCGTCGTTTGTTATGCCATATAAGTTATTATAATGGATAATCGGACGATATATGATATATTTCGGGCATGTCGCCTGTGTGGTGCCGGAGGAGGCTACAAAATGCCTATAATTCAAAGTATCGTCGGCTTTGGAAGTAGCGAGGTGGAATTAAAACAAAAAATCAAAGAATGTCTCCAAATAGAGGTAATTTTGTATTTTGTTTACGTAATAGAGTATATTACAAACCTTTAGAACCATTAAATTTTGTACTCGCAAGCTTTATTGTAAAGTTATTAAACTGACATGTCAATCAATCTTCATTGTTGATTTTTTTACAAATTTTACGTTTTTCTAATTAAGTTCGCAATTATTAGATGTATACTCAAATGAGCTGCATTCCCCTACACTAAAACCGCAAAATAACAGTCCGCACGACTGGCTACTACAAAACCAGTCTTAATTTCTACAACTCAAAATTAGGTTAGAAATCATATTGACCTACTATTTCTTCTATGATTACCAATATTCATTGAAGATCTTGCGTCTTGAAGAATTTTAAATTACAACTAGCAAGCGAATCGTGTAAAAGCTCTCATGCTACTATGTCTGTTATTATTTAATAGAATAAATATGTCAACGAAATAAAAACATGATTTTTAGAATTGTCGCCTCGGACTGCTTTACAGTTGCCACAATGTCTATCTTCGGTTATTGATAACACAAATCTTGAAGTCATGTCTTCGATTCCATTTGGATGCCTGTCATGTATAAAAAAAAGATAAAAAAGCAAAGATTGAAAAAACCAAATACAAAAATACGACACAAACACAGAAAAATTCGTGAGGTCCGCTGGTTCGTTCTGTGGCTTAGTTGGTATAGCGTCTGGCACAGTAAGCTAGAAAATGTCGATCAAAGGAATTTTTTCTGAGTGTTCGATCTTTGTATTAATCATTATAACAAACTAGTGGAATAATTTCACAAAAAAATAATTGAAAATCAATTCAATAAAAATTTAAGATAAAAAAGCAGTTAAGCGAATTGTTAATGCACATAATACAAACTGGTACCTGCGACTTCATATGCGTAAAATACTTCAAGTAGCCTAATGTACTACTGACTTTCATCCCCTTTTTCACCCCCTTCAAGATTTATTTTTGTGACAAAAAATAGCTTACATTGTTTTCCTGAGTTGCATCTACCTCTATACCAAAGCTCATCAAATTTGCTCCAGTGGTTTAGGCATGCAAATGTAACAAAGTTTATAATATTAAACAGTACATTTATAATATTAGTTTGGATAGGCGAAATCTGCATTAGTTACGCAAGCTGGTGCTTGTTTTGACTAACTCATAAAAAAAATTACTTGGTTCATTCACCAAAACTTCACAAGGATTGGGGTTGGTACTTACTTGGTACTTGGTGTAACGGGCTGGTGTCCGCAACTCGACGACAAGGCGCCTATTTTGCGTGTGGTGGGTGCAGGGTCCTACTCGTGCCACCCAAGCTCCTCCAGGAATCTCAGCAGCCTCCTCGGTTTGCTGAAGACTTCGGGGAGCGACCTTGGCACTCCAAGGTACTTTGCCCTGTAGTTGGCCACGCCGGAGCACTGTAGTAGGATGTGCGCAGCCGTTTCCTCCCCCTCCATGCACGCTCTGCATAGAGGGCTGTCTGTGATACCTAAATTGAAAAGGTGTTTATTGTATGGACCATGACCTGTTAGGGCGGCAGTTAGAGTGCGAAGCTCTTGCCTGTTGAGTTTAATTAATATTCGTGATAGACTGGCATTGAGCGTTGGGAGTGCTTCCCTCGCCTGTCTACAAACCGTAAGGGTGGTCCATGTATTATTATGTGAAGTTTTTGTACCTTTGTGTATAGTTGTTCTGGACCATTGGTAGGGGAGGGACACTATGGGTTCTGGTCCTACTGCGTCCGTCTCCGACCCTTTTCTGGCTAGTTCATCTGCTGCGTCATTGCCCCGTGAGCCGCTGTGTCCTTTAATCCACTGTAGAGTTAAGTGGTTTTGTATACATACCTCCATGAGTGCTTGATGGCATTCATAAATGAGCCCTGAGTTTATGTCATAGCTGTTCAGTGCTTGAAGTACTGACATACTATCAGAGAGTATTCTTATGGAGTGGTTCTTTACTCTTCTCGCTATGATTGCTTCTGCCGCCAACTTGATGCCCATGCATTCAGCCTGGAATACTGTGTTGTGGTCACCAAGCGGTGTTGATATCCTGATATTGAGGTCTTCTGAGAATACCCCAGTACCTGTTCCTGAATTTGTTTTAGATCCATCGGTGAAGACGCGGACCTCTTTGGGGTTCAGTCCTTCATTTGGATCTTCAAACAGTTGTATCTTGTATTTTTTGTCGAAGATGTATTGTTTTGGGATCCTATCCACAGCCGCCTCCAGTAGCGGTTCCTCATTGACTGTCTTATAAAGGATTTCTGTATGTGGGGTCCTCATGTGCTTCCAAAGGCCGGCTCTGTTAAGACGCACTGCTGTTGACGCCGCTTCCTGTCTAATGAACATTGGGAGGGGTCGCAAGTCCAGCATCGCTTCGAGGGCCGCAGTCGGAGTTGTCCTCATGCAGCCGGTCGTTGCCATGCAAGCTAGTCTTTGGAATTTTTCCAGTTTGTCGGTTGCGGTCGTCAGCTTGGTTCGTGGCCACCATACTATCGCGCCGTAACTGATCATGGGTCTTATCACTGCTGTGTAGAGCCATAGTGTTATTTTGGGTGAGAGTCCCCATTGTTTACCTACCATTCTATGGCACTGCCAGAAGGTGATAGTGGCTTTTTTAATTTTGTTGTCCATATGCTTGTTCCAATTCAACTTGTTGTCCAGTATTACTCCCAAGTACTTGACTTCGGTTGATATCTGTAGTTCTGTACTGAAGAGTTTGGGTAGTAGGTAGTTACCCAGTAGTCTTTTGTTTGTAAACATTACTAGTTCCGTCTTTGTTGGGTTTACCGATAGTTCATATGCCCTGCACCATCTTTCCACAATCCGGAGTGCAGCTTGTGTAATGTCGCAGAGTACATTGGCATAATTTCCTGTTACCAGTATAGCTATGTCATCAGCATATCCTACTGTATAGAAATGTTCTTTGTTCAATTTAATGATGAGGTCATTTACGACCATGTTCCACAGCAGAGGCGACAGTACCCCTCCTTGAGGGCATCCCTTCGCTACTATGGCCCATGGGGTCATATTTGCTGTCGTTTTTATTGTTCTTAATTTTAGCATGTTGCTAATCCAGCTGATGAGCACTTCATCCACTTCATGCCTCCTCAGTGCTGATTGAATGCTGGAGAAGTTGGTTTTGTCGAAGGCTCCTTCAATGTCGATAAAGGTGCCTAGGCAGATTGCTTTGTCTTTGAGGGCCACTTCTATCTTGCCCACAACGGCATGTAGGGCTGATTCAGTGGATTTGCCTTGACTGTATGCATGTTGGTTTCCGTGTAGTGGTATGTTCTTAAGCGCTCCATCCCTCAGTTCTCTGTCACATAACCTTTCTAATGTTTTCAAAAAGAACGATGTGAGGCTGATTGGTCTGAAGGACTTCGCGTCAGTGTAGTCGTTTTTACCTGGTTTCGGTATAAATATGACTTTTACCTCTCGCCAGCTGTAGGGCACATAGCTGAATGCTAGACAGGCCTGAAAGATGTTGACCAGGTGCTGGACCAGTGTCCCCCTGCCCCATTGTAGGAGAGCGGGGAACACTCCATCTTGGCCCGGAGCTTTGTACGGTTCAAAGGTGTTTACTGCCCATTTTGTCTTTTCGTATGTTACTACTTGTTCAGCATATCGCCAATTATGGGTCGATGTATTGTAGTTCATTTCTTCGCACCTTACGTCTTGGACGAACCTACATCCTGGGAAATGTGCTTCCAGTAGGGTTCTCTCCGTGTCCGCAGGGGAAGTTGTGTATGTGTTGTCTATTTTGCGTATTGAGCCTAGCTCAGTTGAGTTTGAGTTGCCTAGGATTTTCCTTATTCTGTTCGCTTGTGCACAAGACGTTATGTTCCCGCAGTAGCCTCGCCATGACGCGGTGCTCCTGAATCGTATGCGCTTTTTTAGCTTGGATTTGGCCGTCTTGTAGTTTTCCCAGTCCTCATCCGCGCATGTGTTCATTGCTCTATTGAAGCTTCTCCTTACCCTTCTTCGTAGCCTCTCAAGCTCAGGTCCCCACCAGTGTTGGCCTTGCCGCGGGGCAGGTTCACTCAGTGGGCATGCGGAGTTATAGCTGCTCAATATGTTTGATGTCAGTCCTGTAACCTGTGTTTCTATATGTGCTGTGTCCAGTAGTCTTCCCGGTGCTACCGGTTCCCCAAGGCTCTGGTGTAGTTTGTCAATGTATATTTTACGATCGGTTCGGCACACAAAAAAATCAAATACCTAACTGTCCTTTTTCTACACATTGCATGCGCAAAAGATGTAGATGAAGAAGAGAACTCTGCAAAGTTACTCGGTTCATTACAACCTAGAATTAGACCGATACCTCAATGAAAGTTTATTGTCGCAGAGTCCTTTCCAATGGTGGGCAGGGCATAAAACAAGATATCCAAAACTGGCACAGTTAGCATGAGTGTTTTAAAGTGCACCTGCAAGCACTGTGTATAGCGAGCGTTTATTTTCCGAAGCGGGTAATGTGTGTGAAGAAAAAAGGAACAGACTATTACTTGAACGCGTAGAAAGCCTTGTATTCCTACATCATAACTTGCCTTTGTTCAATTTTAAATATTAATTATGTAAATTTTTAATTACTAAATTGCTGCAAATTGTTACAATTGTCTAGAATTTCTAGTAATAAATTGTCTTTTGATTATTTTAAATATATTGTTGGTTTCACTTTTATTATGTCTATAGCTGTAATGCTTTATTTTAACCGAGTGCTCTCCTCATGAACTGAGTTATTCGATCGAGTACGAGTAGTAAAAAAACGGCCGACTACACCGAGTACCGAGTACCGAGTAGCAAACGAGTACTTGGCGCATCTCTACTATGAAGTTTAGATTCAAGTTTGTCGTCGCCAATAAGTCTCCTGGCACTGCGCTCAATCGAATCAAGAGCCTCAAGTTGATCTCTTCACTGAGCCATCCCACCGGTGACTGCAGCTCTTTTAAATCTCTGAGTGTCACTGCAACTGTTATGGACAGAAGTGTCGAGTACGATTTGTTCGTCCCGTCTCATCATAAATAAAAAGCCTATTTCGACCACTAGTAATAATTATAATAAACAATTACAGGTTCATCAGGAAGACAAAATGCCGCCGCTAATATGTGAACTCTGCGTGGACAAGGTGAACGACTACTATGAATTCCTAGAGATGTGTCGCCAAACCAATACGAGCACCCGGAAGAGGTTGGGGCTTCCATTGCAGACTGTTACAAATGATGTGGTACGTTAATTTACTTCTTTTTAACTGAAAAAAAGGAGGTTCTCAAATCAACAGCATGTTTTTTTTGTATATAACGCGACACTGGCCACATGTACAGGGAAAGAGGAGAAAAGTGGACCGGAAAGGTAACAGAATGTTTACCAAGAGAAAATGTCAAGAGGAAAAGAGGTTAACTTTAAAAGTTGGTCTGATGACTTTAAAAAAATAGCTGGACCTCTATGGACTAGGCTGACAAGGGACAGAGCCAGATAGATAGAGCTGGGGGAGATCTATACGTCTTCAGGATGCGCTGATGTTATAGATTAAATAATTTATTAATATAATTGTCAATCTAATTTAATTGTCAGTATAATATAGGTTACTTATACAGTTATAAACACTTGCGAACCGATTTTGCTGATTCTTTTTTATCGGAAACAGGGTCCCGTATAAATTTGAAGAAAACGAGGTTCTAGTGTGTACGTGTGAAGCAGTCTTCATTGGCTAGAATGAGTATCTGGTTACTGCGAACAGCACGCGTTCCGCTCGCGAATCACATGCATAGGTCGCTATAGTCCATCTGTTTAGGTACTTAAATAAATGTAAACAATCTTGAGGTGTCTATTTAATGAAATATAGATTTATGAAATGTTTTCCCTTACCTTCAAATACAAAATACAAGTACTTAGCTTCATATGAAATTGCATGCCTATTTTAATACCTATTGATTTGTAAAGCATGTGTTTCAATAAAAAGATGTATCAAGATTGTTTACATTTAGTTAAGTACCTAAACAAATGGGCTATAGTGACTACCCAGCCTTTTTATATATTTGCCTTCAAGGCTACGAATAACCTTACAGTTGCTGTTTTATTGCTCTGTTTTATTTTTCAGTCAGATACCGGCGACTGTATTCTAGGCGTAACAGAACCGGTATACACAAGCGACGAGAATGTTCAACCTCAAGGGATTAAAAAAGAAAAGGATAGCAAACATGAGAAGCGTAAAGAGAAAAAGAAGGAAAGAAAAGAAAAGAAAATCGCTGCTAAGGGACTTAAAAGAGAGTTAGAGGATCTGATGAAGGTAATTTATGATTAATCATGTGACGATTTCAAGTTCAATTTGCTTAACAATCACAATTCTGCATTTATGGAACTGGAATTTGTTGCAGGGACTTTTTTTATTTATAAAAACTATGCAATCTTACAGAAATTACTTATTACTACATACATATTTAAATATGCTAGGTTTGCTTACAAATTAGTTTGCTAATACTGTCGTAAAATATGCCAGCATCTGGACCTCAACGAGCAGACAATTTAGTGACATGAGACCAAGTTTCGTAAAGCTCTGAGTGGCACTGCAACTGCTATGGATAGGCGTGACGCTTTCCATCAGGCGTATGACTTGTTCGTCCTGTCACTTAGTATGACAAAAAAGAAATTAAAAACTTAGTGCACTTTGCTTTGTCAAGTATGCCATCTCACCTGATGGAAAGTGACGATAATTTTTTATTTTAAAATATAATTACGATTATAATTTTTTTAACGCACGTACTCAACATAGCATAGAATATATTCCACCTCTAATAAAATAATAAATAAAGCCAACACATCTATAGCCCCGCGCTAAGGAAACCCTGTGTCGCGGGTGCCACGGACACACACATAGACAATCACAAATTACACCCAAACTCACAAGAGAAATAAATGTAGGCCATACAAATATTTCTCCCGGCCCGGGAATCGAACCTAGGACCTCTGCGTGGCATGGCTGCCACGGAGGCAGTTGTCCAATCGACGACGAAGCATACACACCTAAATAATGCCTATTCACTTTCGCCTTGAAAAGACCCAACTTATACCGTTCAGGGAACAAGTCTGCAAGCAGGGAATATTTTCAATTATATACAGATTTTTTTTTAATTTAAGGACACGATAACGCCCAGTTCAAGACTATCTCGCTCTTCGATCAGGTCCTTGTCTTCCAGACTGTGCTCCCGATCCTCCAGCACCTCCCTGAGGGCTAGGGTGTCGCCTATCAATATCTCGAGAGGAACTAGGAATTCTACTGGAGAGAGTGGTAATTTGACATCAAGTCGGCTTCAGCAGCAGGTATTTACGAATACATACCGTTTTCATAGAATTTCTAGCTGTACCCGGCAGGCAGCTTGTTTTCTGTAGACAATAGGTCTCCCAAGGAGAGATGAGTGAAGTACGCTTTTGTAAGGGCCTACAAAATACTATTTTCACCTCACTAGTTCGGAAAGACTCTCTCTCATTTTCAAGGTTTTTGAAATTCGAACTTGACGATGGACTGTGGTGCACCCATCATTGGGTGCACCTAACATTTTCTTTCAATGACAAAAAAAAGATAATAACACGTTCTACTACGCGATTTGTCGTAATTACTTATTTATGTAATACTGCCCTCAGAACGAAAAAAGTCACAACTGCTGTATAAAGTACGCATAGTTGTGCCTTTTTTCGTTACGAGGGCAGATTATAAGTCCGATGGTATATTTTATTCTTATTATTATTGACATTAGTTGACAATGATAAGTAATTGTTTTTATTTTAAATGTCATTATATCTTAAAACTAACCCACTGATGTAACTTCTTGTTCATAACACTTGTTTAGTGCAGTTAATAATATATTGTTGTCTAACATTTCAGGAAGTGAACCCACCTGAACCACCAAAACTGAAACCAATTTTGAAGAAAGAAAAGGAATTGAAGAATGAAAAAGAATTAAATAAGGAGAAAGAATTAAAGAAAGATAAAGAATTAAAGAAAGATAAAGGATTAAAGAAGGAAAAAGAATTAATTAAGGTCAATTTTCTTTTCACTGCCTCGTTGCACAGTGTTTCAAAATGAGTTACTGCAACTTCTAGTCTGTTTTTTTGAGGATGAAGTAAAATGACAGTTCACTGCGCAAAAGTGTTGCCCGCTTGCACGCAGCTAGTGATTGCAGTCGATAAATATTCTATCGATTATCGACTAAATGTTGATTACTCGCCTTTCGGCTTGTTTCATAAACCCACACTCGTGTTTTAATGCCTTGCATTATGTATCAGTCTACTATATTTGGTAATATTAACAAAGTTTTCATGCTCTTGTACTAAAATAACATCTTTTTCTAGGCAGAAGACTCTGATGACAGCTTATTACCGGTGTCCAGGCCTAAACGAACTCGGGATAAAGATGTAGTCAAACAAGAAGTACCTCCTGAAAAGAGAATTAAGTATGATACAGAGCTTATTCTTTATCCTTCCGAAAATGTAACCGCGTAGTTTTACACCGAGTCCACTGCCGCCTCTTCGGCAAGCGAATTCGAATGACGAAGGCGGTGCAGTCGACGCGCTGTTTACACCGAGACGACTACCGCCTTCGCCGAAATCATAAAATCATTATAAATACAAGTTTACGCACAAATCTTTGGAACATAATTTTTGTAAATTATGTCAACAAGAATTTATATGGCAGTTTGCCATTGTTCTTTATCATTTTTTTCACATCTTCTAACGTTAAACAACACAAAAAAAATATAATTATCTATTAAAAAACGAAACATTTTTTGCCTATGTGCTTTAGTCCGCCGATTCTTGACAGATGGCCACACGTAAAAAACTCGTTCGGTCGATTGCCGCATGCCGAAGGCGATCGAGATGCCCGGCAGTATTTACACCTAGTCTGTATTTTTTGAAGACAGAATAAAACAACTGTTCATTGTGCAAAAGTGTTGCACGCATGCAAGCAGCTAGAAATACAAAAAGGAGACATTATTTTTAATTTTTCATTTTAATTCAATACAATCTAGATAATCAATTCGGTCTGTTCTTGTTAAAATGTATATAAATAAAAATTTACTTCGACACTAGTAGCACTTAATGAGCGGACAAACGTCAAAACGGCCATCATAGCGTGCCGGTACTGTAGTAATTAGATGATAGATTAGAACGTTCACAATTTTTGACAATATTTTACCTACTTTCACAGTCTATCGATAAAACTATCGACAACAACTACATGACTATTCAAAATTTTATGCATTTGGCAACCCAGCAAATGTCATTTCACTCCGACACACAAAAAAGACCGACTATACAGTCTGCAAACGACACAGTGCTTACTCTGACCTGTCGACCTAGTGTAAACACGCCTTAACTTCTTTAACCTCGCAGGATCACAATAAAACTGCCCCCGCACAAGCCAGGCCCGAAATCCCGCGTCGCGCCGGCTCCGTTCACCCCTCCGCCTCCCACCAACGCCTGCCGCATCTGCGGCTCGGAGTTCAAATCTTCGCAGGCTCTCGCCACACACCGCAGAGTGCACACCGTCGGTTACACTAGTAACATGTAAGTGCTATTTACTGTGCTAGGCAAAATACATGCTATAGACCTTTTTATCTCCTACCTGGGGAAATTCAAATGAAGTAAGTAAATTATATATAAGAATTGTTTATTGCGTAAGCGCCGAGACACACATGTTCTTAAAATTAAAATACAATATTATAAACTTTAAACTAAAATAAAGTACTTATTAAATAGCTGATAGATTTTCAGCCTGTAGCGCTGGTTTTCAGCAAGTCCGATACGAGTGAAGCACGGACTCGAGCTCAAAACAAACATATACATGCATAACATGTGCGTAAAACTTGGTATATACTAAAATATTTGCACTAAATATATAATACGAATACACAGCAAAAATAAAACAGCATAAGTGTAAACTAATTTAATTACTTTATTAATAGATGTATACATATACATACATATATGTTATATGAAGATATAATAAATAATGGGTGAGAAATAAATAAACATTTCGAACCTTCCAAGACGTCGATCGTTCGTCGTCTTTCATCTATTTACCGCTAGATAGCGTCTTTCATCATTTTGCAGCACAAAAACATGCGTACGGGCAATGTGTGGTTCGCTTACTCCTATTCGTCACCACTGGCTTTGTTCCCACTGGCGACAAATGGGGAAAAAACCCCATATGTTACCAGGTGGTTACCAAAAAAGCAAACTTAGATTTATTAACTGAATTAAATATTGTCGCGGGAAGGTTTATCACACATATTCTGCCATGCTGCGGCCACTAATGTCATGGCTACACATAAAATTTTTTATTCAATTAATGACTTCTTTACATATAATTCTTAATATACTTGACCACTTATTTGACAAGGAATGTATTTATATTGTTTATATTTTTTTGGCATTTTCATGACATGGCAATAACTTCCTAAATTATACTTAATGGGACTTGCTTTAGAATTATTTAGCTGCCAAAATGTTGACATCCATGAATTTGCATGCCGATATCAGTAAAATATGAGTGCTGTTTTATTATGTCGACTCATCCGAAGAACAGAGTCCGATGTGATTATATAGCGAAAACAGAATAAGTACGTAAGAAAGTAAGTAAGGCCTATGTAAAGGTGTATTGAGAATTTATATATCTTGTTTCGTTTTGGAAATTATAAAATTCAACAACAGTCGATCTGACATCCACAGTGAAGAAGAACGAACAAAATGTACTATGTCCTGAGAACAAGTAGACTTGCACATAGACCTTTGTTCTACGGATGAGTCGATGTATGCTTGTACCACCTATTGTAAACCATATTTAAAGCAAATAAATATCATTGATCACCACTATCGTTTGTTACTAAAGTCTGTGCAAAGTGTACTTCGTTGCAATCTATTTTAATCAAAATGTAAACAAACAAGTCACTGACCTGACCATAGACGGTTTAGTGATGTCCAATTGTACTGCCAACTACAAATCGATTAATTAATTTAATCAGTTGGAATAAAGGTTAATTTTGCGATTTCGCTGCTTAAATCCATTGTGATTGAATACCTCCATTTACTAATCTATTACAAAGACTTTAATTAAATAAACCGAATGTTTTTTTCCGTACAGCACTTTGCAACCATAGGCTGGTCTTACTTCTGCATTTGAAAAATAACCTCACTTTTAGACTACCATTTTGCAAACACGAATACGGTGCTATTTAAATGAATATTGTTGGAAAAAATTATGAGATATCAAGTCGAAATCTTCTAAATATACGTTATTCGATTACTTTAGAATTTTAACTAAACCGTTTTGTTGGAACAGAGTATAGCTTATTTATTTATTGATGTGTTGAGACAAAACATCTTTAAAGGAATAGAAAACTTCAAACCATCATGTGGTCACCATCTCAAACTAGTTCGTGCTCCTTCCAAAACACCTCCTGTGCACGATTTTTTCAGCAACAGGATGATGCATAATTGGAACATGCTACCCGAAGATGTTTGTTTCTGCTGTCTCTGTTAATGCCTTCAAAAACAAGCTCGACAACTGCCTTCGAAAGGGTGAATAAGTGCTAAAAAAGTGAAGTAGAAGAAGTGAAGAAAACTAGAAAGGATGATGGCCGTTACTGTCCTCATCTTACTTGGCATGTCCAGCATATTCATATTTTTAATTACCCTACATTAATTAAAACTACATTTTTAATAATAGTTCTAGAACCCATCAAAGCAGCAGTTTATTTTGAATGAAAATAAAAAAATATTTATTTTACACTTTTTGTATTTCGTTCGTAAATACAAAAAAAATTAGAAAATATGGGAAAATGTAATAATAATAGAAAAAAACAATTAAAACAAATAAGCAAAAAAAAAAGCATGTCGAAAAGGTCCATGACTCATCATTTGAGGACTATGCTAATTATATAACCCTCGCTGATATTCTGCCATGGCCCGTCATGAATTATACAGGTTAGGAAAAGTAGTTTTTTCATTATTAATAATAAAAATCCACTGCACGAAAATCGAGGCATAGATTCAGAATCCAAGACTCATATGCTTTAAAATGCGCCATGTGTATGGACATGCCAGTTTAAGGTTAGGGCATGCCTCCATATTGCACCGGTCATTGTCATTTCAACACTGTGATGTAGACATACCAACGAAAGCTGCTCGCGTATAATCAAATAAACAGTTTTTTTATTAACCACCCATTCACATGCTCTTATTTGTTGTGTTTGCTTGCCTGTGCAACTCACCCAATAGTACCCCCTGAAGACCGTACAAAAGTTCAACACTGGGAAGGCACATACCAGCGGACATCAAAACTGTCGGAACCAAGAAAATCCTTCAGTTCTTAATGCTATTGGCTTTGGCTCCGAACTGTAATTAATGGTGATCACCAATGGTGGGAAAAAGTTTTTTTTTTGCATAAAAAATAAGTACGTATTTGACCTCCATCTCACCTGATGGTCAGTGACAAAAGGTCCAACTTATAGCGTTCGTTATAGTTAAGGTGTTCCACGTATATAGTTACGTGTATAGACATAGCTACTGTAGGACAAACTACCGACCTAGGAAGTCGAAGTCGGATTTTAAAGTAATTCTAATAGTGCCATGTAAAAAATAAAGTAAATAACTGACAGCCTTGATACCATTCCGTCAATGTTCCTGTCAATATGCGGTGCCGCACCGCATCGCACTTCCTAGGTCGGTAGTTTGTTCTACGATTCCATCATTTCCGGAAATCCGTAATTCGAAAAAGTAATTAAATAAATAACGCACACACTCAACATAGCCCCGCACTAGGGAAACCCTGTGTCGCGGGTGCCATGGACACACACATAGACAACCACTAATTACACCCAAACTCACGAGAGAAATAAATGTAAGCCATACAAACATTTCTCCCGGCCCGGGAATCGAACCTGGGACCTCTGCGTGGCAGTCCGGCATGGTAACCGTTCGGCCACGGAGGCAGTTAATTAATATTTATTATAATAATTAATTAATATTTGGTCGTTTTAACATCTATATCTCTATATCGCTCCTTGTAGCTCTATCTGTACATGTATCTATATATGTGGAACATCTTTTTCCGTCATTGGTGATCACAATAGATCAGTTGAATGAAGTGGTGCTAAGGTGACCCTGAATGAAGCCACCCTAGTAATAATAATCCCTTTGTTTCCACAGGCAAGCCTGCAACGCGTGTGGCGAGTGGTACAACACACCGGAAGAGGCCTTTGCACACCATAAAAGCCACAAGGCTAGATGCAAACTGTACTGTTGCAGGCACTGTACCAAGCGTTTGACGTACTACAAAGACTTTCTCGAGTAAGTCACCCAAACATAATCATCACGTAAAGTGTCACCAACAAACACAAACCTACATTTATGATGTTCATTCAAAGTGAAGTCAAATTATATTTATTTCATAGGTAAGCAAATTCACATGTAAAGCTTGTAGAGCTCAGTAGAGCTCCTTGTCAAAAGGTTCGCCCAGGTTAGTACTGCCACCTTACCTATTTCTGCCGCCTTGTGTTCCGGCTTTGAAGGGTAAGGGTGCTGGTGAAATTACAGGCACATGGGACTTGCCAACTTAGTCTCAGGGTGACGGGCGCAGTGGTAGTGCCCCTCAGATCTTTGGAATTTAAAGCTCTGAGTGACCACAAGGCGCACGACTTGTTCGCCCCGTCACTTAGTATTATAAAAAAATTTTAGATTTTTATGAACTGTCGTGACTCATCATCAACTTTAGTATAGTGAAAACCAGGTTATATACGCAACAATCGAATAACTTAGATTTTTTTAACACAAAGCTAATAGAGTGGTGTAGTTAATGTTTATGTTTTTAATGCGTTGATATCATCGAGTAGAACCAGAAATAGAGACGCAATGTCATTTAATTTGTTTGATAACTATTCTGCCAAATCATTACGGTGACAACTGCTCTCCGATTGGCGAGCCCGAATTCGAAACATTTGACGGGTGTCGTCAATTATTTCACTACAAATCGTTCCACCAAATGAAACACCCACCCATAGTTAGAGATATTAGCTGTATTACAATAAATATAGAATATTTTTGGAATATACGGAGACGTACACACAAATCAATTGTTGGCGCTGTAGTATATCAGCTTTCTAATTTGTGATCTCAGTGCAAACAAGAGTTGATAATTAAAAGTGATATAAGGCACATTTGAGTTGCCAGGGGTGGATGGCCCTTATTTCGTCTATATTTCTGGTTATATATACGATGGTTGAGATAGATAAAACGGGTTTAACGGTATTATTATTATTATATTTGTTCACAGACACATTACTGCGAAGAACTGTCCTGGTTTAAAAGAAGTGCCGGATGTGAAATGTGAAAAGTGCTGGAAACTTTTCCCTACCAGAAATCTGATGCAGCAGCATAGATGTTTGGGCACACATGACCATACAAGACCAGGTTGGTATTAATTTTATATGTACAAACTAGAGAAGAAGTCAGATAATCCACTTATGGTCTAGCCTTAGCGAAAAGAAAGAAAACGCTGTAACAAAATAATAAAATGATATAAAAAGGTGCAATCGGTATAAAACACTCTCTACTAAACAGTCCAAGCAATTACCCCAAAAAGGCTTATACACGTATAATCATGAACCAATAACTCAAGTAAACTGCTAATCTTCATACTACAGATCGTAGCTCTGAAAAAGGTCAAAATTCCGTTTTATAACTAGATGGCGCTGATCAATGGCCTGGAAGTAGTTTATATTATGCAAATGACCGTGGATATCATTGACTTACAAATAAATGGACGACGGGTCTAATACAAAAACCACGAAATAAATGTCCCAAGTCAACCTATTTAAACGTAGCGACATGTAAAGGAATATGAAAAAGCTAAAACGTTGAATTTAAATTGTAATGTCATCGCAGTACTGTCTAATTTAGCTTGCTTCGCTGTCAGTCGAACAAACGAAGACTAAAGCGTGAATGACGCTTTGTATACGATTTTAACGCCCTATAAGTTCGGACACTTTTTAGCGCGGACCCGACGTCCATATAATTGTAAGTCAATGGTGGATATCAATTAATTCATCTTTAATATGAAATATAAGTAGTTGGTTTTTTCCTTGTAATATTATTCAAATATTGAGACCATGAACTAAAATTATTTTCTGAACACATATGCGTGTCAAAAGATGGCATTGTGTGTTTACTGTGTGACAAACAAATTTATGAATTAATACTTGCTAGTATGGGTAGATGGCGTTAATCCTTGTAATTAGAGGATAACTATTTTGGCTTTGTTCTGTTTTGTATCATCTAAATGTAATCTATTAATAATAAGCTGTTGTTTCCCAAATAAAATAAAGTCATCATCACTTTTAGAATATTGAAATTATTTAATAATGTTTCAGCTATGCATCGTTAGAGTAAGTTCCGAAACTGTTTTTAAAACAGTTTTGTAATCTATCTTTTGCTATTTACATCGACTATTTGAGCATTTCCCACTTAGCTAGTGGACGGCAGCATCAGTCGCCGCTAGTCTAGTGAGAGATTTTTGAATTTGTGTTCGATGTTTGTATTTAGTGGAGTTATTTCACAAAAACTCTCAATAGACTTGTTTTCCTTTCAGGTAACTGCAAGAAATGCAATCGCAGTTATCAAACTCTCAAAAGTCTCAAGAAACATGAAGCCCCGTGTACCACTAAGAAAAAAGGTAATTATGTTCTGTACAGGGTGTACATTTGTAAAATACTAATAACCTCGCAAAACTATATTACTAACATCGTAAACAACAGCTTTTGTTCCATGCCTTTAATAATCCATCACAAAGTCAAAGTCCAATAATCATTTATTTCATAGGTAAAATTTTTACACTTGAAAACGTCATTTTTAAGCTACTTTTTAGGCTACTGCTCGTTTACTACGCTGACCTCCCTGAGAAGAACGAGCGAGAAACTCTAGAGATTGCTCTTTTCAAATAAACTTAAATGCTATGGAATACACTTTGAATCACAATTGTGTGGAATCTAGACTCTTGTTGTCTTTCCATACTTCTTTATCTAAAACGGGCTCATCAATTTTGTAATATGACTTTTCAATTAAAATACTATATTAAAAGTAGTTTTAAACTTATTACATGATAATCTTAATATATTCTCTGGAATCTTATTGTAAAAACGTATAACAGTTCCCCATAAAAGAATATATTAAGTATAAGTACATACCTTAGTTAAACGAAATCGTGGTACCATGAGTTTAGACTTAACATTTTACTTAAATTAAGAAAAAATAGGTCTACGCGACTGCTATACATTGGAAATGACACTTATGTTTGTGATCTAAATAGCACGTATTTGGTTTTTTTTTAAATCAATGAGTCGAGATACTCTTGCAGGTACCGTGGTCATTAGGTAACGTTCTTGTACGTAAGTTTCATTTTAAACATGATATGAAGTTTACCTACCTAAAGTATTGGTTATTTTATAGTACACGCATAAATCATTAAAGCACTAAATACCTAATCAAATAATTAAAAAATAATGACAAAGTAAAAATAAAACACAATATAACAAAAATATTTAGACAATATTTAAATGAGAGACACGAAATGTAGCAAAGGAACGTTTTGACAAGAGGCCTCATGCCAATGTCATTGTCACTATGATTTTTTTTTTAATTTATTGCTGGCTATGGAAACAAAGTCCTTCGGCCGAAAACATAAACGTTTAATTATATTTCTGTACATATGGCCACCACAAAGAGGATAGGCAATTTGAGGCGGCGTGTTTGGATTGACTCGGGATTCCTTAGAACGGGCCGATACGGGTATTTTAGTTCGAGATTCGTATAATTTCGCGTTTTAATCTTCGATTAAGGCACAATAGCACTATCCTATTCCACTTTAAACTAGATTTCACAAAATAATTGAAAGTCAAAATAAATACGACACTTTTCCCTCCAAAAGGCCCAGAGCGAATCTTGTCGCTATGAGATTTAGAACAGTGTGACCATTTGTGGTAGATTTCTGCCATTTGGGCAGATTTAATTTTTATTCGTTTTCATTGCGACGTTAACATGTTCTAACGTATTAAATTTGGCTGACTTTGGCAGATTTAGGAATATTCAGCAAGTTCTTTATTATTTTTAGGAAGAAACTGAAAACTTGTTGTTTTCTGCTACTACGAACAAAAATCAGAAGCGAAATACACGACAATGCTATAAATATAACTTATCAAGTTTTCAACCCCAGCTTCTACAGGCTGTACTCAATTAGCTTTTTTGATACTTTGATAACGAATCACAAGTATTGATAGGTCTCTGCACGTCGTCAAAAACACTGGGTCACAAAATACACGGGAGGTCGCCATCCTTCTTTGTTATGTTTTGTAAAACATCTTGGAACAAAAGTTGTTATGTATAATGTTAGCAATATAGACCTGCGAAGTTATTCGTATTTTACAAACACAAACCCTGCATACCAGACCAGCCAACTGTTTAAGCTATAAATAACGCTTAATTTCAAATTACTTCAAAACGAACGCTAACTGTAACTGGAAGAACAACCCGGTAGTTTTTTTAACGCACACACTCATTCTCGCGCACTAGTGAAACCCTGTATCCATGTGCCATGAACACACATAGACATCGAGTATATAACCAGAAATAAAGACGAAATAAGGGCCATACATCCCTGGCAACCCATCAGGCAAATGGGCCTTATGTCACTTTTAAATATCAGCTCTCGTTTGCACTGCAATAGTACGGCGCCAACAACTGACCTCTTGTACGTCTCCGTATATTCCAAAAATATTCTGTATTTATTGTAATAAAGAGAATATATCTAACTATGGGGGCTGTTCCACTTTTCCATTGTAAATTTATTTTACCTATGGAATAATAATAATAATAATAATAATAATAATAACGCTCACACTCAACATAGCCCCGCACTAGGGAAACCCTGTGTCGCGGGTGCCACGGACACACACATAGACAACCACAAATTACACCCAAACTCACGAGAGAAATAAATGTAGGCCATACAAATATTTCTCCCAGCCCGGGAATCGAACCTGGGACCTCTGCGTGGCAGTCCGGCATGGTAACCGTTCGGCCACGGAGGCAGTTAAATAATAAATGATTCTTTGACTTACTACTACGACTTATTATGGTAGGGACGACTTTGGGCAACTATGGCCTAAACCCTATGAGGAGACCCGTGCCCAGCAGTGATACGTAGAAATCATGAAAATATGAATCTTTTTAAACAAGGATTTATTTTTAAATAAGTTTTTAAACAACTTGCCTTATACTAGACCCGTACCCACCAGTGGAATGCGTAATGGGTTGTTGATGATGACGAGTAAAACCTTTATACTCTTCCAGTTTCAGAAATTAAAATGGACGAATCTCTCCGTGATCTACCTCCTGTACAAGTTCGCATAGTTCGTTGTGATAGCCTGCTAAAGAAGAAAAGTAACAACCGCTATGATGTCGCCAACCTTTCCAAGGTAAGTAATTACGTTTTAATATTGTATTAGCTTTCAAATTAGAGAGATAGAGAGACGCTTATAGAAGTACTGTAGTGGCGCCACTGTAGCGCTCTACTATAAGTCTATTCAAGTTAGCGACCTAGTATCTGGTCCTCTCTTTCGCACTACTTCATAAAAATGACAAGGACATAAGATGGAGGCACAAGGTTAAGTGCGCGTCATGGAGTATATAAACAGAAATGGAGATGAAATATGGGCCATCCATCCTTGGCAACTCATCAGACAAATGAGCCTTACTTATATCACTTTTAAAATACAGGAATTTCCTAGTTCAGGTACATGTGTTATTTTTACATTAAATCGCATAAGTAGTCTTTAGTTTTCTCTGTACATTATGTTACTGAATAAACAATTATATTATTATTATTATAAATATCAACTCTCGTTTGCGTTGAAATCACAAATTACAAAGCTGAAATAATACAGCGCCAACAACTGACCTACGTGTACGTCTCCGTATATTATAAAAATATTCTTTATTTATTATAATAAAGATAACATCTCTAACTATGGGGGGCTGTTCCACGCGGTGGCGTGGGAAAAACAGCAAAACACCCGTCAATTGTTTCGAATTCGGGCTGACCAATCGGAGCGCGGTTTTCACCGTAATTATTTGGCAGAATAGTTTTCCAACAAAATGAAATGACATTTCGTCTCTATCTCTAGTTATATACTCGATGCCCGGACAGTCCTTCCTTAATGTTAACGTTTAGAGCAGCAGTTGTATGCTTATCGGTTGAGCACAATGATATTAACGACTGCAATACATCTTTTGTTACAGGAATTTGGCCTAGACAGATTTGCTTACTATCCATACCAGTCATCATACGTTCATATCAAGTCCGAGCCTCTTGAATTCAACGGTATGGTCAGCATAAACAAAGAAATTAGAGACGAGATATACAGAGAAGAGGACTATGTTCATTGGGACACTGACAACTCTAGCGACGAAGAGGAAACGTCTCTGTTAGGCCCGGCGATTAAAAAGCGAAAAGTGCCAAGTTTGACAGCTCTAGCTTTAAGAACCCTATTTAGCAGACGATGTCTAGGAAAAGTACCGAAGAAATTAAGAAAAATGAAGGATAAATACGATTTATTCAACATGAACGACGACTACAATATTAATATTAACAATATTATTACTAATTTAGATGAAGACACTAATGTAAATTATGATTCCGACTCGCTTTTGGATCTCGGTAACAGTGTTGGTTTAGAGAAACGAGTTCCTAGGGACAACAATATTACGGGCAAAGATATAACTAATGCTGATAGTGCTGTTGGAGGTTTTGATGTTGGTGCGGATAAAGTTGACAAAAATGATAACGATAATGCAGATGTTGGTGACAATGTTAGTAAGAATAAAGATATAGATGTTGGTGCTACTGTTGACAAAAATGTTGGAAGCGGTTTTGATATGTTACTATCTCAAAACGGTATTGAAGGTAATGACTGTAAAAAGAATGGTTATAGTGCTAATAGTGAGGACAAAGAATACGAAAAAAGTGATTTAGTTGGATTTAATGATGCACTGCACAGAAATGAAACTTTAAACGAGAATGGCATTTCTCAAAATTCCGAAGAATCAACCGGTTCTCGTGTTTCGGTAATTGATAATTGCGTAGAAGAAAATTCTAATCACACGTCTAGTTCAAAAGATATGCTTGATGGTTTCAATGAAAAAATGAATGGGAAGAACTATGTAACATTCAGCGAGGACGATAAAAAGCTACTTGATGAACTGGACGCCCAAATTGGTGAAAATTCAAATAGTGATAAGATATCTGAATTAGATAATAATATCGTGCAAAATTTGTCTATTGACGTTCCAGACTTTAATTTTGATCCATGAAATTTGTATACTGGGACCATTTGGTCCATAAGCTCTATTTTAAAAAAGTGAATTTGTCACCGCAATCAAAACTAAATGTCGCTATTTCAATTACGATCCTATGGATTAGATTGATAATATTAAGAACCTTAGTCTGTTATGATATTCAAGATAAGGAATTTAGTCCAGTTGAAACATGAAATGTGAAGGTGAGAAACCAGGAGTCGTCTAGGAGTAGACTGGTTGGTGAGTTTGCATGATGTTTATTGCTATAGTATGTATCATAATTAAATATCTAAAGTGTAAACAAAGACATGTCATAGTCAAAGTTTGAATGCAGGTGTGTTAAACCTTGTATTTTAAATAAAATTTGAAAACGACGCAGTTCTCATTTTGTACAATTTTGATAATGTATTACAAAATATTAACAATAAACAAGACTTTGTTAACAACACATTAATTTAACAAACGCACCACTGAGGAACTCGAATGTTTTTTGTCTCATTTTGTTTTTTGTATGGACCCGACTAAATAGCGGCACAAAAAATGTTTTTGATCCCGATTATGTTACCAGCGTCATTAAATTCTTCGGCCTTAAACGTAGTCTTTTATTATAATTATTGTATTAAACAAAATTGAGTAAAATTGTATATTGCAGAATATGAAGTGTTTTTTTATATCTATTGACGAACAAGTCGTGGGCCTGGCGGTACACGACACGCCTGTTCCTAACAGTTGCAGCGCCACTCAGAGCTCTAAGTCACAAAGGTGTGAGGCGCACTGCCACTGCGCCCGTCACCCTGAGACATAAGTTGACAATCCGATGTGCTACCTGTAATTTCACCAGCGCCCTTCAAAACAGGAACGCGGTAATGCTCACATTACGGCTTGGTGGCAGTTCTTCGCTGGACGAACGCAAGCTGTTCTGAGTTTTATCAGCTTACAGCTTGAAGAGTGTACTAAACTTTCTCTTCACTCCGAGAGGTACCTTTTACAGCTACCAGCCGCTGACTAAAGAAGAAGAGTTCTAAACCGAAATGTGTTTCTTTTGCTCGGTTATCCCCTTTGTTTATATTTTGGACATCTTATTAATAGTACCGTCTCTATCCTGTTGATATGATTGTCATAAATAGGTGACCATAATATGCTGTGTAGTACTCTAGTATACTTCTCACAGGATCCACATGCAGAACTTCGTGTTCCCGTGTTCATACTTCGTGTTTGCTTGAAAGGTTTTGTTTGTAACTCGATATAAGAAACCCATAGTCCACATTGCATTTAAAATCATTTAATCTTAGTGTACTCTAAAGGAAAGCTTCGAGTCAAACCAAATGCTTAGATCACGTACTACATTCACACGTTCCAACTAAACTCCACGTATCATATACGACGACGGTATGCAATTCTTCTTTTTCGTAAATGTGATGAATTGGCAGTTGGCTACGTTGAGTAACATTGTTTTCCACACCATCGAGTCAAAGTATGAATATCAGATTGCAGTGCGACGCAATCATCGGTAGAACGTATTGTACGAGAATTTTTTATGTCGTCTGCAAAGGATAGGCACTCACCCTTGAATTGGTTCAGAAGGTCATTTATAAACATCGGGAAAAGTAAAGGACCGAGGTTGGATCCCTGCGGAACGCCGGAAACCGCAACAAACGTAGTTGGCTCAAAACCATAAACAGTTACAAGTTGAGTACGATTTTGCAGATATGAATGATGCACCTCAGAAGCGAACCGTGAATTCCTAAGCGCTCAGCTTTAATACAAAGTATAGCATGATCAACGCGATCAAATGCTTTCACGAAATCTGTGTAAACTGAATCTACCTGTCCAGATTGATCGAATGAATGAATAACCAACTCGAGTAATACATGTAACTTAAAAGATTAGTAGCGGCAGATCGAAATTTTACAAATCCATATTGTTGGGGACTGAACGGTGTCTTCAGTTGTGAGCAAATGTGATCATATACACCAGGCTTTAAAAAAATCTTATTTTAAATCTAATTTTATTAGATTTAATATGATATAATTATTTGTAAATCTAATTTAACGAATTCGTTTGGATATGATTTTTAGTATCGCTATATATTTATTTATTTATTAAAACACATCCAACATAGTACATTATTTTTACTTAGAGCCTGATTATTACCACACTATGAAATTAAAAACAAATCGCGTAGCCTTGTCCGTATGGAAATCAATATTTTAGGGCTACGTTAGACTTTAAAATGCTTGACTATTGCATAAAACATCGAAGTGACAGTGATTGAAATGTATGTACATACATACTGCGATTAGTAGGTTATACTTTTTGTCAAAAGACTAAATCGCCTACATTTGTTTTTTCACTCGCTGAGGGGACCTGTAAGGGGAATGTCATCGCGCGGCCGCCGAGCGAAGCCCGCGTTGCGTCAACTGTCATGGCAAAATACGCTCTATTTATTTAGCTTCACGGGCGAGTCTGGCTAGAATGTGGTCTACCCGCGCGGTTGTATTATTCAGAGGAATTTAAATGTTGTTGCCTAGTAAATATAATTCAGATTCGCCAATAATGTACACGAAGGCGTGGCAACAGGGCCGCACGAAAACTTTCTCCTCGTGTAACTGGACGCTAAAGGGCCGGAAACGTTACATAGTTAAACACTTTATTCACTGTTATGACCAGTGATAGGAATTGAGGGAGTGAATTTAGCAAAACTAAAAAAGAATAAGGGCAGGTTGTAGCATTTGTAAAAGGGGGACATTCCCTTCTACAAATGCTACACCTACAACCTGCCCACAACAAGTACGCAACCATTTAAAACTTTACTGAAAGTGGCAACACTTCAAACGTCAATTTACTCCGTTTTTGAAAAAAATAACAGTATACAATTATTTAAAGCTACACATCACTAGTCAACCATGGTAGCTGTAAGGGTGCCTCTCTGAGTGAACAAATAAATTTCTCACAGATGACGCTACGATAAAGAAGTCATTAAAAACCTAAAACAAATATCTGTAACAAACACATAGAAAAGTTCATAAAGTCTGCTGGTTCGTTCTGTGGCTTAATTGGCAGAGCATTAAAGTGCTTTTCCACCGGCGAGGAGAGACGAGACGACGCGATGCGAGAATTGAAATCTCGTCGACCTATTTCCACCAAAAATTGCCATTGGGAGCACGCGCGGTCTCGCGCAGGCACTCGCGAGCTTGCGCTATAGTTATGAATAGTGAAGATACGCGGCTAAAGTACCGTGTCCCGCAAATTCTTATTATTAAATATTTTAACGGAAGAAGAAGAACGGAAGAAGAAGAACTTTACCGTTCTAGCTTAGACCGTCAAATTATCTTCTCATATTCCTCATCATCGGCAGTATTCGATTTGAATAAAATCTTCAAGTTCTGCTTGACCTTTTTCGCCATCTGCCCTCTGATACGCTTTGCGGCCTTAGTCAAGAACTGATCTGAAAATTTCGTCATAATATCCATTACGTCACTTCTTAACCCCGCTACCCATTCTCTTACAACACTGATGCTTTCGTTCCATTCCTTGATTGTGTCCACAGTTGCCGGTAAATTTTCGTCAATAGCGTCTACCAAATCCAAAAACGCCACTGACTTATTCATTGCACTGCCATATGCATCTGGCATAACCAGTAACGGTCTGTTCTTTGACACTAACATATTCTTAAATGTAGTCAGCAAAGGTCTTAATTCCTTCCCTTCTATTTGATCTATCCAATCCATGGTCTGCGCTATTTGTTTTTTTAATTTCTTGTCACCAAAATGGCTATAGTCAGCCTCTTTGAATATTTCTGTGAAACAGTCGACAGCTAATTTTATTTTACTGTCGTCACATGAAATTATTTCAGTCAAGAATTCTGCAGCGTATAAACTAAATCTGTCCTTAGCTCGACATACTCCGAATTTTTCGCATGCATTGAGGTAATCTTGCTTCTCCTCGTTCACTAACTCTCCTTCCAGAACACCTATTGTGCCAAACCTTAAACCTCCTCTTTTTTGCATGTCTTGTAATAGATAATTAACCAACCTTCTCATTATACCATTTGAAGTATCTATTATGTTTAAAATGACCTTCTGTGTCCCTGATCTTGTTAAAATTTTCTGACCCTGAGTTTCGTTCAAAAATTCATCAAACTTTTCATCGTAACTTCGTGATATGAAATCAATTTTGTTTTTGGATCTTACATCTTCGATTTTGTTTTTCATTTCAAGGAAAAACCTTTTAGAATTTTGTTTTGTATCCTTTATGAAGTCTTGTACCATTATATCTTCTTTTACTAAATGTGGAGTTTGGTAAAGACCCTTTATATATTTTTCAGTATACTTTTTTGGTTTTACAGTTGTCGTAGTAGTTGTAGTAGTAGTTTTTTTTTTTATTATGCTTATTATTGATGATTCTGTTGGTTCTTCTGAATCGAAAACTGTATTTGCCGTCGGATTTTTACGGTTGTGATGTTTAACGTCGTCATTTTCGGTAGTAGAGTGCATTTTTCTTTTCTTTTTGTTTTTTTTACCAACCTGGTGCCTTGTTAATCGGGTAGTTACCTCTTCGCTACTGCTGCTAACACTCGCCTCTTGCCTCAAACTCATGTCCTTGACACTTTTAGAAGGAGTGAACTGTTTCTCGACTCGTTTATTCATTTTCTCACCATTCCTTACGTCCAATTCACTATTCTCGACGACTGGTGGTTCAACATTGTACTCAATAGCCCAATTTGGTCCAAGGTCTATGACGCCGTCGACTTTTACTCTTATCGTGTTTACGTACAGTGGGCGATCTGAAATTGAAATTTAATAAACAATAGGTAGATGGCTGTGTGCTTGTCATAGCGAAATTAAGCCACTCGCAGCGCTCTTTTTTTATAATACTAAGTGACGGGACCAACAAGTCGTGTGGCTGATGGAAAGGAACACGCCTGTCTCTAACAGTAGCGATGCCACTCAGAGCTTTAAATCGCAAAGATCTGAGGGGCACTGCCACTGCGCCCGTCCCCAGAAAAATAAGTTGACAAGTCCCATGGGCCTGTAATTTCACCATAAATTATAAAAGTAATGGCGCGGATAAACGTTGGATAAAAATTGGCAATTGAGTGCTTTTACCAGGGATCCATTTTATTAATCGAAGAAACAATATGTCGTCAAGAAATTTACCAAATACGTAGTTTAAGGCAATCATAAAAGCAAAAACGTTATTACAGCGTAAAAAACGCATAAGTTATGATTGACGGAAGTTGCATACGTAATTTCCATTGAGTAGGTACTATCCCCTAGATTCGCATTTAACCATTATCTTCGACTGCACTAGGTAGATACCTAAGTAGCCATCACAGAATTAACATAATATGGCTTATTGAAATAAAAAGCAAACTTACTAATTAAGGCGAAAACAAACAGCAACTTATACATAGTAACATTGAGAAAGTTTGTGAGTTTATAACTATAAATTGGATCTGTGTAAAGAGCTGTAATCGCTAGAGGAAATGTATTTGAAATGTAACAACGATCAGGGCCGTTTCAAGTTACGTGATCTTGATATGAGTACGTAATAGTTACTGTTTTTTTATATTTCACGGTTATTATCTAATAATGCAAGCCAGTCTCATCTAATGGCAGGTATACTACAGGGACTTGTCAACTTACGCCTCAGGGTGACGGGCGCAGTGGCAATGCCCCTCAGGA